CCGCGGGGCCGGGCTGCGGGCGCTGGTGTCGCTGGCCGCCGGGCTGTTGGCGTGCGGCGGGGCCAGCGAGTACGACTACGTGAGCTACCAGTCCGACCTGGGCCCTTACCCGGGTGGGCGCTTCTACGCCAAGCCCCACCAGTGCGTGGCCATCCCCGCCGACCTGCGGCTCTGCCACAGCGTGGGCTACGACAAGATGGTGCTGCCCAACCTGCTGGACCACGAGACCATGGCCGAGGTGAAGCACCAGGCGAGCAGCTGGGTGCCGCTGCTCAACAAGAACTGCCACATGGGCACCCAGGTCTTCCTCTGCTCCCTTTTTGCCCCCGTCTGCCTGGACCGGCCGGTCTACCCGTGCCGCTGGCTCTGCGAGGCCGTGCGCGACTCCTGCGAGCCCGTCATGCAGTTCTTTGGTTTCTTCTGGCCCGAGATGCTCAAGTGCGACCAGTTTCCCCAGGACGACGTCTGCATCGCCATGACGGCTCCCAACGCCACCGAGGTCTCCAGGCCCAAAGGTAAGGCGTGAGCGGGGCTGCAGCCCTGCTCCTGGAGCTTTTGTCCGAGCTGATGGGGCAGGTGTTAGCCCAGGAGGGGCCGTGTGGCACCGAAGAGGGTCTTGCAGCAGGAGGAGGCTCACCTGAACTTTGCTTCTTGGCAGCAGTCCTCCTCCAGCCTCCGAGCGCTCTGCAAGTACTCCTGTCCTGAGGAAGGCAGGACGCCCTGCCAGCTCCTCGCCTCTGTCCTGAAGCCGAGCCTGGGGGCAGACGGTGTTGGGGCATGGCGGGTGCGTGACTGCTCCGATCCCCGCACTGGCACCAGGGCTGGGCTTCAGCCTCTGATGGACCAGGGCTCCGACCCTCCATCCTCCAGGTGCTGCACCACCCTGGCAGCAGTTTCTCTCCCAAGCCCGACTCCGGCAGGGCTGTTCTTGGCAGCAATAGGACGCGTAGTCCCCCACAGCAGAAAGGGCTGCCTGACTGGAGTAAACAGTGACGGTAATCCTGGTGGGGTACCCTGTTTCCCAAGCAGTCCTGGGGCGAGAGGCTGAGCAGCCGGTGGCTGAGCGTGCAGTGGAAATCTAGCCCTGCCCTCTCAGGTGAGCTGTGTGCTGGCAAGGGGGCAAGAGACTTATCAAGAAACAACTGGGCAAAGCGGACGTGGTTCTTGTTTGTTTCCATTACGTGCGAGAGGTCTGTCTGGTGCCACACTGGCTTGTTTGTGCGAGTTACAATAAGTCCAGCTTGTTGCTGAGAACTTTTGAAATCAATAAGTATCCTGGTGTTGCTTCAGTATTCTGCATCAGAGTACTTTGAAAGGCTGGCAGGAGGGATATTTGTAGAGGGAGAAGGCAGAGGGCTGTAGAAGACTGCAACGCTTTCCTGTGTACGGAGCTTCATTGAAAGGGATGGGTGCTCCTGATTACACAGTGGGATAGTGCAGGCACTCGGGAGGAACTTGGGGACAGGGGAGCTGTGCATGGGGCTGAGCCGTGGCTTCTGTGCTGTGTCCGGAGCTCATCTGGAGGGAAGGTCGCCCTGTACAGTGGCCGCTGGTGTGCAGTTACCTTTACAGACAAAGGCTTTATGTTGTGCTTGACTGGGAGCCCCCGCCCAGCCTGCCGGGGACTGTGCAGTGTTTTCTCCCGCTCATCCCAGCGGGACTCCTGCTTCAGGGAGCCCTTCAGTTACAGGGAGGAAGGGAGTGCATCCTGCAGCAGAGGGGTGACACTCTGGGGGTGTTCCCAGACGCCAGCGTGGGGGCACATGGAGGGCAGCGGAGAGCGATGGCTTGAGCAGGATGGGACAGTTGCTGCAGGGGGTCGGCAGGGAGGGACACCTGAGCTTGACACCCGCCGGCGCTGTACAGGGAACCTCTGTTGTGTCTCGGCAGTGGCATCCAGAGGCAGGTGGGGTGTGAAGTGTGTGCCCGTGCCGGGGGGTGAGGTTTGGTTGCTCTTGCTCCCAGGCACCCAGCCTCTCCCTAGGCAGCACCGACGGCAGTGCAGTCACTCTGGCTTCCTCGCTGTGGCATGAGCTTACTGATGTGATTGCTGGAGGAAGCTCTTTGTTTTCCAGGAAGGCTCTAAAGTCATCTGTCCTGTGTGAACCTAGACCCTTGGTCAAGACCGCAGTTGCATCCTGTGTTGCGGGTACAAAGGTCGCTTTTATTCCCCAGGGACTTGCAGCCAAGAATGCTCCTGGGGCAGCTGGGTCTGAGCTGCTTGCTGTAGAGCTGCCCCTTCCAAGGTCCGAAACAGAGTTTGAGCTGTTTGCAGGTCATTCATTTTAGAGACATTAATGACCCAAGACCTGGGAACAGTCTTCTAGATGAGCAGCATCTGCTAAGTTTTCCCTTGTGTAGTTTAACAACTAACTTTCTGATCACCTTTCAGACCTGTCTTGAGAGCAGTATTGGGGTGGGATGTTACTGCTTTCTTTTGGTGCTGCTAACGTGCCCATCAGAACAGTATTTGGGCACCTTGCTGTTGTTCACAGGCATCGCTAAATTGACTTTATTGCAAGGAATTACAGCAGCTCAGGTTTGAGTCCTTTGTGCACCTATTGGTGATCCTGTTTGGGGTGCAGAGAGGCCTCATTCTGCACAAACTTTAGGGTTTATGAACTTGTTCTTTGAGCGAACTGTAAATCGGAGCTGGGTGAGTATTGCAAGGAAGTATTACAGCCACTCAGATAAACCACTGTCTGCTAAATGGCTTTGCAAAACTTATGTCCCAAGCGCTTTTAAATGAGCAATTTGTTTGCAAGGATGTTTATGGAAAGTAAGTCTTTAAAATTGTTGTGCAAATGTGAACTCTCTTCAGCATTCAGTGGAAAAGTATAAGCAGCCATCTTCACATCCCCCAGCTGCTTGAAAGTGTTTCAAGAGGAAACCCTTGCATGTGCTGTATCTGAGCCGCAGCAGCTCCAGAGGTGTCAGGCCGAGCTCCCTGTGCCCATTGCACTGGCTGGGGCACTTTCCTGTGAGGGGATGAGCAATCTTGCTAGAAAACGCTTCTTCAAGGTGAGAAGGCCAGGCTCCTCAGTAATCTGCTGGGCTGGACCTGCTGCCCTTAGGTGCACCAGCTTTCATGGCGTTAACACTGGTTTGTGGCAGAGGGATCTGGCGTGTGTTCTTCTACGAATAACCTTTGGTTGGTGAAGATCCGCGTGCCGCTTATGCCGTGTGCTGGGATGCTCTTGCCCCAAACAGCTTAGAGTGAACAGAGCAAACTTAAAGTTAATTGTGACCACTGCCGTAACGTAAACCAACGCGGCGAGGTCTCCAGTGCTGGCGCTCCTGTTCCCGCGCTCTGGAGAAGATCCACGAGTGGTCTCCAGTGACGGCAGGGGCCAGACCCGGCGAGGTGCACGGCGCTTTGTCCATCGGCTGCTGGCACTGCCACCTCGTGCAGACGAGGGGTCCCTCTTGGTGAGCACGCTTGTGCTGCTGTGGTTCAGCCCTTGCCCCCGAACATCCCGGATCCTTCCCTCTGCCTGGGGCTCTGCCACGGGAGACCCTGTCCGCAGTTTCTGTGCATTTTTGGCTAGCACCAGCTCCTGGAGCCCCTTAGGTCTCGGGCACTGGGGTGTGTTTCCTGTTGATTCAAAGAGGGTCAGAACCCAGCAGTGTCCCCCCTTTTCTTTGGGCACTAGTAAGAACGAGCCCTTTCAGTATTTTTCCCCATTAACACCTCGAAATTGGAATTTGTTTCTGCCTCTCAAAGAGCTGACCTGCTGAATTCCTTTCTCCTTAAGCACGAGGCGGTAAAGCCTGCAGGCCCACAGGATGCATCAGGGGAGTTGCAGATTAATATAGCATTACACATTCCTTCTCCTGCCCCTGGAGTAAGCTGGCTCTAAAGCCAAGCATTAGAAAATGGTCAGCAGGGAAAAAGCGAGCTGGAAGCAGGCTAAGCTTGTGCTTGGAGTAGAGTTGTCAACTGCAGAAGATGGGTCCCAGCTGAACTGCGGCAGGTTAGGAGACGGGTGACTGTGCCCGATACTGCGAGCCGTGGCGGGGTGCTGCGGGGTGCAGTCTGGCCCGGCACGTGCCGGCATGGCTGCCGCTGGACCGCCGCAGTGGGGACCGCCTGAGGCGGGAGGAACCGAATCATGGCTGGGCTTCTTGTTGGCTCCTTCAGCCTGGGATCGTGTGGGAAGGGGAAGGTGAGGTGCTGGGCAGCGCTGTGGGCTGGAGGACGTTGGCCATGATGCCTCGGGAGGGCAGGCAGTTTTGGGATGGCTGTGGCTCCATGAAGCAGCAGTTTTCCTGGGGCACAGAGCTGTGCGGGAGCTGGTCAGGCCCCTGGTACTTGTGTTCCTGACCTTGGCGTGATGGGGTATCCCATAGGAGAGGAGCATTTCCCTTCCCCTCAGCATGGGATAGTCTCAGGCACGTCCGTGCTGCAATGGGGCTGCAGGAGGCAGGGCTGGAGGATGCTCCCTGCACGTGGAGCTGCCTGGCACTGGAGCAAGCACTGGGTGCCCGCTTGCCAGGCCATTGGGGTCCTCCCACCATGGGGTAGCATGCCGGGGGCTTTACCCCAGCACAGGGATTCGGCAGCCTGGCAGTGGGATGCGTGTGCAGGCGAGGCCGCTGCTCGTGCTGCGCCGCACGCCTGGCAGCGCTTGCCCTGCCTGGGGCGTCAGCAGAGCCACAGGGGAATGTCCTCTCCGTGGCGAGAGGGCTGGCAGACGTGCGCTGTGTTGCTGGTGGGAAGGGGACGGACGTGCTGCCCCGCAGAAGGAGCTGCCCAGGGCGGCTGCAGTGGCTCCAGCCCGCGTGGGATGGCTGCTGGCTCTGGGGCCTTGCCGTAGCGAGACGAGGGTCCCTGCCACCATGGGTGTGCTGGAGCAGTCCCGGGGGCTGCCTTAGCGCAGCTAAAACAAGGAACAATGACTCTTATTTTCCATTTTGGGGTTTGTTTTTTTTCCTTTGTTTGCCTGGAAAGCTCGTAGGCTGGACACAGCGGTGGCTTTCACATTGTTTGTCTGGCCCGCATAGGCTCGGCCAGTCTCCTAGCGTGCACTTTGGCTGCCGAGGCACATTGAAGTGCTTTGCACATTGGGTTGGTTGGAGATGAGCTAATGCATGGCACCTCGTTCCTGAGGGTGGTCCCCAGCGCAGTAACTAACTCTTGGCACTGCAGCAGAGACAGACCGCTGGGGCTGTCACCCTCCTACGAGCATCCCCTCTCCCTCATCATGACCTCATTAAATGTGCAGCCTGGATGGAAATATTCTGACTGCTGATTTTAAAAATAGTGTTGGAGACCTCATCGCATCCCCGAAGGCTGGCTTCTGCCTGTGTCACTCTAAGTTAAGACAGTAAAAGTGACAATTGCATGTTAGGGTTTTGGAAAAGGAAGTTACCCAGATGATGGGCAGCTCTCATGGGTACCGAGGTACCGGGAGTGGGACTGTTAAGTCGACTGTTGGGTGCTGTGAAGGTTGCCTTGTGACTTGCACGTCGGGACGATTGGAAGGCCAGTTGCTCTGCATGTGTGATTAATAAAGACATGGTGCATGACCCCAGGAATTAGCATTTGGCACAGAACAGATTTGGGGGGGTGAGAGGGGAAGAACAAGCCACAGAAAACAAATGTCTCGCCTGAAACCCTGTGGGGCATCTGTGACTGAGGAGACTCAACTCTGTGGTCGGCACGGGTCGTGGCCATGCCTCCCTCACCAGCCGTTCTGGCTCTGCACCCCTCTTGCTGGGAGACGTCTCTGTTTTTTCTGTCCAGCAACGCAGTGCATTTTGCCGGTCTGGCTGAGGGCTGGGGCGAGCATTCTGTCTGCACGCAGGGACCGGCAGATGTTTCACTGCAGTGCCGTCCCCGAGAATAACTCCCTTGTGTGGGAAAGAGCCCTCCGTTCTGCTGGACCAGGAACAGAAGCAGCATCTCCCAGCTCAGTAAATTCATCCGCCAGTAGCACAAATCTGCGTCTGTGCTGCTGGGTGGTCTCTGCTCCGGCTGGAGATGGGAACATGGAAACAGATTTTTATTCTCTGGGTGAAGTGAGCTTTCCTCCCAGGATGGATCCCGATGAAATCTCCTGGGCTGGTGTTCCCCAAGAGGAGGATGTTGGCCGCTGTCAGTGGCTGGTGAGCAGAGCTGGCTCTCCTCTGCTGGAGCCACGAGGCTGCCCCGCAGGCAAAAAAACTCCAAAAAGATAAGATGTCTGCTCTTGGGGTTGCGCTGGAGGGGCTTCTGGAGACGGGGCGGGGGGGGGGGGGCGCATGTGAGAGCTGTGCAGGTCCATCACCAACCAGTGCCGCCCCGGGGCAGGGTGGGAGGGAGGCAGGAGAGGGGCTTGCCATGCGATGCACGGGCAGCCTGTGAGGTGGTCCCCTGTGAGCTGGGTCATACCAGTCCCGAACTTGCCTGCCTGGCTCCGTGGTGGCTTCTGGCTGGGGCAGCCCCTCGGTGCGCGAGCCATCCCCTGGGCACCGTCCTCCTGCCATGCCGGGCTTTGGGCACCACATGCCCACCTTGGCCTGCCGCGCGGAGGGCACGTCAGTGGGCTGTGGGCCATGCCCCATGGCGAGTGGCTCCCCTCAGCTGAGTGCCTGGCCCTGAAAACCCCTCTCCTTGCCAGCACTGTCCTCTTGCTCTTGGCAGCTGCCTGCCCCTGCCCGTGCCTGGCCTTGGGGCTGCTGGCAGCACTGCAGTGGGGCTGGCAGGAGGCTGCCCACAGCCAGCACTGCCCTGCGAGCTGGTGGACGGCTCCTGACCCCTGGCAGGGTGTCGTCCCACGGGGCAGGGACCTGGGACCCCCATGGCAGGGTGCCTGGGGGCATGCTCCCCTCGAGGGCAGAGGTCTGACAGCCTGAGCAGCCCGGCTCTGTGGTGCTTCTTGAGCCGGCTCCTCACCACCTCTTCTCTCCTTTTGCCAGGAACAACCGTGTGTCCCCCTTGCGACAACGAGATGAAGTCGGAGGCCATCGTGGAGCACCTGTGTGCCAGCGAGTTTGGTAAGGAGGGGTGCTGGGAGCACGGGGGGACTTCCCTGGGGGGCACAAGGGCAGTGTGGCTCCTGTGTGGGCTAGATCCTGGACCACTGTGTTTTCCTGCCTGCCCTGAGAGCGGTGTGGCCAGCGGTGTGGCTGGTGTGGCCGCGTCGCCTGCGGGCAGCCGCAGTCCTTCCCCGAGGCGAGCGTGCCTCTAGATGTCAGTGTCGGTGCGCAGAGGCGGCCGCTGGGATGGGACGGGACTGGACTGGACGTGTCCGGGATGTGTCCGGGACATGTCCAGCTCCTGCAGCCAAGCACACCCAGGTACCGGGACAGCCAGGACCGGGACAGCGGGGTCCTGGTGGCAGTACCTGCACTCCTGCATCACCCTGGCTGCAGTGCTGAGCATCTCTCCTGCCCGCCTGGCGACATGCCGCCCGGGGACGAGGCCCCCACACGTGGGATCACCCGCCGAAGCAGCGGTGCTGCAGGCGGTGAGGCCCCGCTGCGAGCAGAGAACCAGATGGTGTTGGTCTGGAGTCTGAGGCTGGGGCAGAGGTGGCAGTGCCTGTTCTTTGGTGAGCTTGGTGGGGCTCGTAACTTAAGCCTGGTGTTCCCGTGCTTTGCGTGCTTGCAGGAATGATGTGTAGCATGGACTCTTACTCTGCTTGCAGTCATGAAGGGGCAAAGCAGCTTCCTCCTTCCCCCAGACTGCTTGTACCGCTGGGTTTCTTTTCAGCAGAGTTATGCTGCTCTTGTCAAGTCTAGGTGTAAAAACCCAAAGCCAGTCCTTGTCTAGCTAGGGCCAAGCAGTGAGCTTAAAAAATGCAGAGCTACTTGAAAGCTGTGTCCTAAATATATTATGACTGAGTAAGTGAGTCAGACAATCATAGGTAAACAGAACTTCATTTAAAAAAAAAGTATCGCAGGGAGAAATATTAGCTTTCTCAGATCAAACCCAGAATTAACTGGTTTTGACATCCTTGCTGGTGTATGTAACTTGCCCGGAAGGTTATTAAAGGCATATTGAACAAGGTGTGCATTCCTCGGGGATTAGCACTTGAATGTGCCCTGTGCCAGAGCGCACTATGCAAACCCAAACCTGCTCTGCATGCTGGCGTATTACCCTTTCTGCTGGAAATGAATTCTCAACTCTCCTGCAGATTTGGTATGCCAGAAGTCCTAAGTTCAGCGCAGACTTTTTCTAACAGGGAAAAGCATCGACAGGAACACCCATGTAATAGTTTCCCAGGAATGCCGGGTACTTCTAGCTGAGTCAGGTAACGGGCACGCAAATTTGGTGCGGCAGCCTGGCTGGGGAGCGGGATGTGCTGTTCACCCGACTTGGGCTGAGTGCTCAGACGTGGGTGAGCCCGAGCACCCTGAGCTATGCCCCAGGCAGGCGTGAGATGAGAGATGAGCAGGAGCTGTCCCTGCCCCACTGCACCCATGGGGAGAGACTGGAGGGAGCTTCCCAGCTGGTGGCCTCTGGGACCAGCGCACCTGGTTTGGGCAGGGACCATGTGCCCAGGTTGGCGGTGGCACGGAGGCATCGCCCCGGTACAGGCACTCTGGGATTGGGGACCGCTATCCTGGAGAAGGAGCGGGGGGCACTGGCGGGTTGCTGCAATACCTGTTGCCTCCCTGGAGGCGTGCGAGGAGCAAGCTGAGGTGGTGTCCCGCTGGTGGGCAAGTGCTGGGAAGGGAAATACAAGTTTAACCGCATGCTTGTCATCAGCCTCTGCCGCTAAATATCCTCCCCGTGCTCTGGGACAGTTACACAACGGGGAGCAGAGGCCAAACCAGAAGTATTCACAGCCTCGGTGGAGCGGCTTGAGACATTGACTTGCCCACAGAGTAAGTTAGTTATTGGGAAATTTTGTGGTGACAGCGTCCAGAGGATGGAAATATTTCTTGGCAGGCAGCTCCCTGGGTAGGGCTGCGGCAAGTGGCCAGATATAGTGTTACCGTGCACCGCGAGCAGCAGAAGAGCAGCAAGTAGAGGAGACCTCAGTCCCCGTGCCTACCCCCAATCAATCCAAAATGGTTGTGAAGGTTTTCACAGGAGCCTTCCTCCTGCTGTGGTTTGGAGTGGTGAGGATGGGTCCCCATTCCCAGGCCAGCCATGCTGTGTCCCAGCAGGGAGGGAGAGAAACGGGAGCCAGCTCTGCAGGCTTGGCTCGCCGAGAGGAGCTCCGCTCTGCTGAAGGGGCTGAAGGTGGCCCTATCTGCTCTGTCGGGGAGCTCGGTGGTGTCACTGAGTGCCCTGTGCCCACATCCAGGTGACAGCAGCTCGCACGAACACAGCTAGATTTGAAGCGGCTTGTGTGAGCCCTTGAGATCGCTTTAGTTGTAATGTCAAGTATCGTAACTGCATCGGCATGTCCACCTGACTCGCCTAGATCACCATATTTTTCCAGCCTTGTATAAAGTCATTTGTTTTCTCTGCCAGATCAGAGTCTGATGGTTTTTCTGACCATTGCAAGGAATTTGGGATCATTCTTTGTTCTGTGGATCAGCACAACTCCAACATGTAACTTTTTAAACATGTCAGAGCTCTTGCTGATGCTGAGGTTGCTCCCATTCCTCCTCCTTCCCACTCCTGCTTTCTCTTTTTGTCTCAGAAAGAGGTTTTTCATTTGAAAACAAGATGACCTCCCTGTTATAGAGAAGTCCAAAGGCAGCTGAGCAGGACACAGTGAACCATCACTCACGTGTGAACCATCACTCTGTCTTCGCAGTGGAAAGCTGGTTGTGTCTTGGATATACCTTGATTCCCCTGTTCCTCCCTGTCACCAGACTCAATCATGGTGGGAAGCTCACACAGCTGCCTTTGGTGTTTTCTTCCTTCTGTCATTGTGTTTTTCCGCCCCATCCAGGAGGGTCCTGGGTGCGTGTAGCACTGCCTCCAGATGTGCACAGTCAGTAGCCAGCTGGGGAGCTGGAGCAAGGGAAGAGATGCGATGCAGGTCTTACCTGTGATCTACAAGGGAAGGCAGAGCAGGGTGCTCCTGGGGATGTCTCTGCTGTGGAGAGCAGCCAGCAGAGGAGATAGTGACTTCAGGAAATTTTCTCAAAGCACAGTGCATGGCCCTTGGATCTTTGTTTAGTCTTGGGTGGTTACTGTCATGGGGTGATTTCTCAAGGAGAGCTGTTTATCTGGCACTAAAATAAACTCTCAGCCCTTCAGACTGAGATTTCTCATGCACATCCACCAAGGTAAACACTGGCAGCTGACAGGTTACAGATCCTCATCAAAGCCAGACACGTACAATAAATGTTTAAACTAACGTGTGCTGCACCGGGCAACTGTTGGTGGGTCCTGCACTGATTCCTGCAGTAACGTGACTTTGGGTTTCACCTACATCCCAGTGGCTCGTTACAGACAAGATGCGAGGAGCACGTTGCCTGCCACTGATGCGTGGCCATGCCAGGGTGGGAGGTGGCTGTGTAACAGCCCTGGGAGTGATGTTGGTCTCGAGAACAGAGAAGGAAGAGAGCTGCATCCAGCTGTGAACACAGGAAGACTGTAAAGAAAAGGGACCTTTCTTCTCTGGCCCGGGAGAGGGCCTTGGACAAGATGCTGGGGCTCGGAGTGGTGCCAGGAGACCGCCAGCTTTGTGGGCCAGCAGGACTCTGGGTTTGCATTTGTATGAGCAGTGGTGAATGTGGGCTCCTGGATGCTGGTTTGAGGCAGCTCCACTCCCTGCTGGGCTGCCAGCAGCTTGGCAGCTTCTCTGAGAGGACGATGGCTTTGGGGGGGCAGCATGTCTTGCTGTCCACACGGCTCTGGCCGGGGCTCACCATGCGATAGCCGCGCAGTGGGAGCGGTGTGCGTGCTCCCGTAACGCTGGCGAAGCAGTAGGCGCTGCCTGCCTGCTGCTGTGGCCGTCCTGCCTGTAGGCAGAGGGGACCTGGGTCGGCACTGCCGGAGGCACTCGGAGATTAGCTTCTCCTTTATTTCAGCAGCGTACAGGAGCTGCCTCCTCTCTTCTCCACCCTAGCCCTCCCCTTGGAAGCACCAGCCAAGTGCCCCCAGGAAAGGGGGAACGTTTTTGACCCAGCATCCCAGCATCGCACCTGTTTTGCTGCTGGTTTGGTTGCCCTAGCAGCAGTCCCCCGTCCCTGCGGTGCATGGCAAGGTCCTGTCGCGCCTTTGGCCGTGTGTGAGTGCTGCTCCACATCTGCCTGCCTGGGTGCCAAGGCTGGGAGCAGGCAGCAGAAGCATCGCCCGCGGCTTGGAGCGGGGCTGCGGGAGCACAGAGCCGAGGGTGTCAGCGAGCAGTGCGGGGACCCTTGTCTGGGGCACGGACCAGCTCGGGGTGCTGGGCCAGGTACGCGTGAGCTGATTGCAGTTTAGATTTTGGTGCAGCTCTGGTGCGCTGGGGGCAGCGATGGATGCAAGACGAAGCGTGAGATCGCTCTCCCGTGCCCCCCCAGCTGCCTCCCCCAGCCTCCCTGGGCTGCAGCCAGGGTTTATTTCTTCCTCCTTGTGCAGGCTGGGCTGGCCCTGGAGTTCATTCCTCTCTCTGTTTCTCTTGGTGATTTTATTTATTGTTTCTGCCCTTTCTCTGGGGTCTGAGGGGATCCTGCTGAACGGGCTCTCGCTGCACTGGAGACTGCAGTACAATCAATACATGCTGTTTATTTTGTCCGGTGACTGACAGCTCCTTGCCTGCAGCCTTCTCCTGTTACAGCCCTAATGTGTCTTCTGGCAGGTTTCCTCCTTCTGAGTGATTTCTAAAGGAAGGAGCAATGAGGCTGAAGGAACAGCAGAGCTTTCCCTTCTCTCACGTTCCCTTCCCTGCCCCTGAGGTGCTGCAGTGGGGCCCCTGTCTGTGCAGGCAGGAGAACAGCAGAGACCACGTCCCAGTCCCAGGCTCCTGCATGCTGGAAAAGACGGGTCAGAGGTGCCTGTGGGGGGCACAGTCATGGTGGGGGTGTGTGGTGGTGGACGGTGAGCAGGGTGCAGGGGCTCGTGAGTCTCAGCCTGTGGCCGCCCCGGTACAGCGCAGTCCTCA